GCCGGGCGGGGGGGCGGTCTTCCCCCAGCCACAGGTACCCCACGGCCCCGGGGCTCACCCCAGCAGCGGTGCTGTGCGTGCCGGGCTGGGGGTCTGTCATTCTCCAGCCACAGGTACCCCATGGCCCCGGGGCTCACCCCTGCTGGGGCCAAAGCAGCAGGCAGGGTGGCGGGGGGGGTGTGTGCTGCCTTCAGAGATGCTTCCCCATCCAGCAAGGTTTGGCCATTCCTGCCCCACTGGGCACCCGCAGTGGGGACAGCCCCGGCCGATGTGATGCCTCTCTTTTCCCCTCCTAGCATGACGGAGAAGGAAGTGCCAGAACCCCCAGCGTCACCCGCTTCAGGTGGGAAACCCAAGAGCCGGGTAAGTGGGTGCCCACAGGGCAGCGTCAGGGGGGGGGGGACGCGACCCACCTTTCTAGCATCATCTCTGCCTCAGCCCCAGGAATCTTTGTGGGGGCCAGGGATGCCTGGCGGAATCCTGATCCAGCAGGGCACTGGGTGGCCATTTCCCAGACTGGCTTTTCCCCAGGACGCCCACATCCACGTGGTGCTGGGGTTGTCACAGCTTCTCCTTCTGTGGGGACCTCACAGGGCTGGGAGAAGGGTCCCTGTCCTCACAGCATTCCTGGCCCAGGATGCCTGGGGTCTCCTCCCACTCGGGGAAGAAGGAGCCTCTAGGTCAGAGCAAAGGGGTGGGAGCCAGGCATCGGCTTCTCTGCCCGCCGCACCCCACACGCCGGCCATGTGCAACGCGTCCTCTCCTGCCCCGGCAGCTACAGAAGCTGAAGCAACTTTTCCAGCGAAAGCCCAAGGAGGAGACGGCGCCAGAGCCACAGCCCAACGGAGAGCTGGTCAGCCCCTCAGGGGGACCCATCTACTACATCTATGAGGAGGAGGAAGAGGAGGAAGAGGAGGAGGAGCCCGAGCCCCCTCCTGAGCCCCAGAAACTTGTCAATGACAAACCCCACAAGTTCAAAGATCATTACTTCAAAAAGCCCAAGTTCTGTGATGTTTGTGCCCGCATGATCGTCCGTGAGTCCTGAGGGGGCTGGGGCTGGGGGCCATGGTCAGGGCGAGGGCTGGGGGCCAGGGCTGGCAAG